TTTTTTTTTTTTTTTTTTTTTTTTTTTTTTGTCTTGTCTTGTCTTGTCAAAAGTGGCCCCGAAAAAAACTTATAAATTGAGTGCCAAAAAAGCTAGCTTTTTTTTAATTTATTTACTTTTGAAATTAATAGTAAAAAAATCTATTAAATTCTTTTTAAAAGACAAACGTTTTTTCAAAATTTAGGTATGAATCACACCTTCTATGTAGGAAAAAATTTTAAAAATTGGGTAAGGTTAAATGTAATCATTTTATTCCAATTTATCGTTTTATGTGTTTTGGGATCAATTTCTAACTTGAATTCATTTCAAATTTAGCTGTCCAATACTTAAATCTGACGTCAATAGTGTGAATGAAAATAAATTCTCGATAACCCATGTACCGCTTTCATCTTTAAATTTGTTGTTTTTTTTAGCAATCGAAAATGTAGCGTTAGACTTTAAGGTTTAAAGAGTACCCGAACGACTTTAAGGTTTAAAGAGTACCCGAAAACGAAGTGAAAAGTCAGCTAGCTAAGCTAGCACAAAATAAAAAGTTTGAGAGGCAACTTTTTGTAGATGCTGAGACTCAAACTCGATGTCTCTTCCATGTCCATGTCCATGTCCTCCTCTTTCATCCCCTCCCGTAACCTCCAATTAAAATGGTACAAAAGATTCACCAAAGCCAACTCCACTGTCTTCACCCCCAAATTCAATCCCGGGCAAATTCTTCGACCAGCCTCGAACGGCAAGAACTCAAAGTGTTGTTCTTCGTAATCAATCGAGCTCTCTTCAAATCTTTCGGAAAGGAATTCTTCTGGGTCTTTCCAGTATGTGGGGTCTCGTCCAATTGCCCAAACCTTCACTTGAACCATTGTTTTTGGTAAAAATCGTAGCCTTCTATTTTGAAGTGGGAAATGATTTCTCTTGGAGTAAGAAGAGGTGCGAATGGATAGTCTCTTTTACTATCATTTTCAAATATGGAAGTTGTTATATGTCTTTCTCTATTACTTTTCGTGTATTTTCCACATTGTTTCCGATTTCTTCTTGAGCTTTCTTCATCAGTTTTGGGTTCTTTACGAGTTCTGTCATTGCCCAAACAAGTGTAATTGAACTCTGTCTAATCCTGTCAAAAGTATATTTTGTTGATGAAGGAAAGCCGCGGAAGGAAATGAAGGAGAGACATTGGAATTTAGAAAGAGTTCAAGAACAAGAAGAAAAGATGATCTTTCGATTAAGTAGATATATATCGAGCCTAACGAAAACAAATCGTGAAGTGTTTGAGTTCTCATCCTCGTGTTCAAACAATGAAATGTTTTCAAATTTTTATTTGGATGTCTTTAAAAACAGTAGATCAAAAAATTACTCAAAAAGAAAATATGATGGTCGATCAAAGTCCAAGATTTCTTGATATTATTCTTATAGTGACAAATAGAATGATATCAAAAGATGGTCGTCAACTCCAAAAAAAAAATTGAAAAATTACCTACATCAAAATTTAATATTTTAAAGTGTTTAATAGCGTTAGACAGATTTGAACGTTTAGTTTCTGGTAGATAATATATATCTTAACTAATGAAATTAGATTTAAAAATTATAATCAGATCTAATTGAATTGTATCGGGTCCTATCCAACTCAACTCTAGAACTTCGTACACTCTGTGATTCATACAGAGAAGCCTTGCAAGAAGATAGAGATTGAGACAAATAATAGAGGACGAAAATCAACTTCAAACATTTTTGTCTCAATGCATTGGACCTGACATCCGATGAGATCAAATGTCTGGAACAAAGTGAGAATAGGAAGAGAAATCATTATAAACTTTGTACATTAGGTTCTTTTTTTCAAAAGCTTAGATTTTTTTAATTAATTTATTTTTTTCAAAATTAGTAGTAACCATGTTTAAAATGTTTAATTTGATGTTACTCGTGCAAATAAATTTTCGATGACTCATATGTCATCTTTAAGTTGGACTTTAAAATTTAAAAAGTATTATAAAACTAATTGGAAAGTCGGCTTAAAGCTAGCTAAACTAGCTCACAATAACTTTCTTTGTGTTGGTGCAGTGTAAAATTATTCGATGTAATACTATAATTATATAGGTCAAGTTTTAAGAATTGTATTACATATAAAAAATACTCACTATTTGTGACAAAAATCATAAAACTTCATAATTAGAGGATTCAGCTTGGAACTTACACTCATGGACGGTATGCAATTGGTACAAGTTTGAGGGGCAACTTTTTGTAGATGGTGAGACTCAAACCCGAAGTCTCTTCCATGTCCAAGTCCTCCTCCTTCATCCCCTCCGGTAACTTCCAATTAAAATGGTACAAAAGATTCGCCAAAGCCAGCTCTACATTCTTCACCCCTAAATTCATCCCTGGGCAAATTCTCCGACCAGCCCCGAACGGCAAGAACTCAAAGTGTTGTCCTTTGTAATCAATTGAGCTTTCTTCAAATCTCTCCGGAAGGAACTCTTCTGGGTCTTTCCAGTATGTGGGGTCTCGTCCGATTGCCCAAACATTCACTTGAACCATTGTTTTCGGGTAAAAATCGTAGCCTTCTATTTTGAAATGGGAAATGATTTCTCTTGGAATAAGCAGAGGTGCTGGTGGGTGTAGTCTTAGCGTCTCTTTCATTATCATTTTTAGATATGGAAGCTCTTCTATGTCTTTCTCTATTACCTTTCCTTTGTTTCCGACATAGTTTCTGATTTCTTCTTGAGCTTTCTTCATCAATTTTGGGTTCTTTACGAGTTCTGTCATTGCCCAAACTAGTGTAATTGAACCCGTGTCTAATCCTGCTAAAAATATGTTCTGTTCATGTACAATATATTGATATATTAGCTATGAGATTCAAAGTTTTGAAACTAAACTAATAATTTAGCGTGAAAACCATTAAAGTTTAGGGATAGAAGTTGCTTACCAAAAGAATGGCTTTGATGCTTTCTTGGGTGATGACAACGGTGCAAGATTCAAGTTGCTTTTTATTAATAGCTAAAAGCACATCAATGATATCATCTTGCTCTAGTTTAGACCTTTCAGGACGAAGATGTTCATCAATCATATCTTGAAACAAGGCATTGATCTCGTTAAAAACCCTTTCAAGTCTAGCATATCGTCCACTTAACCAATCAATGATCTTCCCTACAAAAGGAATGGGAAAAAGCTCAGAAGCACTATAGCTTCCTATTAAGGCCTCAGCTTCGCTCACAAGCTCATGAAATTCATCCCCCCTAAACCGCATCCCAAAAGCAATTCTAAAAATAACACCGGCCGTGAGAGCAATGGACTTCTCAGTAAGATCAACAACAGCTCCACAAGAAGCAGATTGCGAAATCGATTCAATTAGCAAACCAACTTCTTGCTCTCTAATGGGTTCGTAAGATAACACCCTCTTCATACTGAAAAGCTCAAGTATACAAATTTTTCGTATCTCTCGCCAGTAATCACCATACGGCGAAAACACAATGTCAAGAGAATTGTAAGTGAATTTTTTGACTGCTTGAGTTTGTGGTCTACTACAGCTCTGAAGATCGTGAGTTTTCATGAGGGCACGAGCTGTCTCGACAGAGGATACGATGGTGGTTTCTACACTGCCGAGGCTGAGGCTAATAATTGGACCGTAACGCTGAGAGAGGTGCCATAGGGATCTATGTGGGAGCTTGCCAAGTTGGTGCAAGTTTCCTATGAATGGAAGCTTTGGTGGACTTGGGGGAATATTACCCTTCTTTCTATTTGCAGCTACTTTCTCTTTGAGGATGATGAAAAGTAAAGAGAAGAAGAAGATGAGGGGAAGCCATGGAGGGAAATGAAGGGAAGACATTGGAGTTTAGAAAGAGCTCAAGAACAAGATGAAAAACTTTGGATTCTCATTCACATACATCATTTGAACAAATGGTACCAAACAAAAATGGCGGGACACTCCATGAAAGCAACACGTTGTCATCTTGTCACCACGAAAAACAAAAACCGAAAACTACCTGAATCAAAATTTAATCTAATTTCTTTATTTTAAAGTATTTATTAGCGTAAACATATTTAAATGTTGATCAGATTTGATTGGATTCCACAGGCTCAGTCAATTAGGTCTGTTCCTATTAGACCCAACCCTAGAACTTCGATCATTTAGTGGTCCCCATGGAGAAGTCTCTCGAAAAGTTGGAGATATCACCCTCTATGGTAAGGCAAAAACCCCATATCAAGAAAAATGTTATTAAAATTTTATATAAATAAAATATTTTCATTTTAGAAAATTAATAGTTGATAAATTAAACTTCACAAAATACATAACTCTTTTATTTATTTATTTATTTTTTTTTTTTTTTGTCAAAACATATATATATATATATATATATATATTTGTTATTGATTTATTGTAATTAAATAATTAATCATAATGGTTTCAATTAATTTTATTCCGAATAAAATAAATTAAAATACGAAAGGTTATCAAAATGTTATATAAATAAATAATATTTTTTTAGTTCTAATTTAATTTTTGTTAATTAATTTATTTTAATTAAATTAAATTATTAAAATAATTTTAACTAATTCAATTTTGATTAAATTTTCATTTATTTTATATATATATATATATATATATATATATATATTAAGTTTATTGTGCAATCAATATTAATCATTATTCATTACTCACCAAAAAAAAATTTAAATTTTATATTAAAAAATTAATAAAGTAAATCGAGATAAACAAATGATTTTACGAAGAAATATATAAATATAACAAAAAGAAAAAACGATTTCAATGATTATTTAGGATGTGGGATTAGATGTCCATCCCAGGGTCAATATCTCCGGCAATGGCCTGGAACTGTTGTAAGTCACGCTATCTTTCGGTTTGAAATGGTGAAGATTGAGAGCAGGTTAATTGGATGGCCCAATTGACTGGAAATTTCGGCTTTGATATTGACCTAATGGTTGTGGGAGCTGCATCTTGCTTGACATTGATGGCCTTGTTGCTCGAATGTCATGCCATGTCGTGCGAGAAATTCCAGGGTTGGTCTGACTCGGCGCACTGCAGTTGCGTAAGACAATTGTCGATTGAACACCGATTGCGGACGCCTCTAAGGTTCGTAAAATCTAGTTCAATTTCTCTACTGTAAGTTAGGATTTCGGTAAATCATGATAGGATTTCGTTTCGATTTGGAAGTTTTCTGAGTTTACCATCTTGAAAGCTCGATGATCGTTGGCTTATGATTCAACAGTAACCTTTCGTAATCTTGCTTGTTATATTACTTATTAGAATTTTCTCAAGTGATGCTCTGTTTCTACTCCTGTTCTTGGAAGATTAAAAGTCCGATATAATTGTATGCGATATTCTTTGAAGATTTAGTGTCTTCTAAATGAGAGATTCTCTAATTTCTGCAGACATGTAGATTTCCAAATTACTCTGACTTGAAATTGGACAGGAACCTTCAGTTTCATGTGGCTTTTTGGTTTCTTGCGTATAAGAACTTAATACTAATGATAGGCTGCAGAAAAGATTGCCACTTGCGAGTTGCTAATAAGTGTTGATCTACTCTTTATTGGAAGTTTGGCCTCTCATTCTTCTGTACAAATTATGTTTCTATGTTTCTCCTTGGGGTTCTCTGACTGGGAGATTCATGGTTAAGCTAGAATCATTTGGAGTAATACAACTTAAGTTCTTATTTGGCTTCTATGGATGGAGAAAAGTAACTGTATTCTCAAAGACAATTATAGTTTATGGGGTTCACTGCATTTTTTACAGACTGTTCTATGGGACCTCTATAACTTTGTCTCTTTTTTTTTATTAATCATAATGGGTGATTTCTTTTGCGGTCCTGTTAGGTAGTTTAGGCCTGAAGATGTTTCACCTCCTTGGCTTCACTCCCATATATCCTCCCTTCTTATCCAATGAATGTGTTATCGGTTCCAATCCAAAAAAGAAGAGTGATTCGTGTGGCTTTCTCGGTCGCTGCTGGTATTTGACTGTAACAGGTTTTTAGAGATCCTTTCTTCGAAATCATAGACCAATTTCCTTTTTTTACGTAAATGTCTGTTTCATTCATTCTGTTAGGCAATTTTCCATCAAAATAGTAAGAAAGATTTGCAGGTATTAGCTTGCTCAAACTTTTCCTTGTATTCATGCCAGGACATTTTTATACCAGCCCTTTAAATGGCCATAGCTTAAAGTTTTGAAGGTTTAGAGAGTTGTCGAAAAACCTCTCTAGAAAGAACTTCAAGTCTTTGGGAAAACATCTTCTAAATTTGTGACTTAAATTTGGATCGTCCTTGATCAGGTTTAATCTTTCTCAAGCCACCCCTTCCGGCTATTCCTAGCCAGTGTCAAGTAGGAATGGAGGAGTCCATAGTTGACACTCCTCTTTCGTCTTCCTTGCATGACCATTAGACTTTGTTGCTGTTATTCCCAAACATTTTAAGATTTGAAATAATCCTCCATTTTCATATCCACAACTACGATTATTTTCAGGGCATTGCTAATAATTACGTATTATATGCATAGTTTATCATAAAGATGCAAATACTATAATAAAGGAGAGAAACAAGATGAATATATGAAACCTCCAATTTCTGTTACTGAAAGTGCTTTTGCGAATTTTGTCCCAGTAAATTTTCTACAGATTTAACAATTTTATTCGTGGATATGTAGGTGCTCTATCTCTGTCTTTATAGACCTCAAAAGTTGCAGCTTTGATCATCAACCAAATCGATAAAATTCAATACCAACAAAATCAAAATGCTTGGCCTTGATCGGATGATGCATAGCCTTTCCATCTGGGTGGTTTCTCTGCTCTTACTGTTGTTTTTCCTACTGCTTAAAACAAAGACACACAACAAGAAACTTCCTCCAGGCCCCCCAAAGCTTCCTCTGTTGGGTCACTTACACCTTATTGGCTCCCTCCCCCATCGCTCTCTGTGGAAACTTTCAAGAACTTATGGCCCCATCATGCTCCTCAAACTTGGCTCTATTCCAACCATCGTAATCTCCTCTGCTGCAGCTGCCAGAGAGGTGTTACAAGTACATGATCTTGCTTGTTGCAGCCGACCCCGCCTAGCTGCTAGTGCAAGATTTTCATACAACTTTTTAGACATAGGTTTATCTCCATATAGTGATCATTGGAGGGAAGTTCGAAAGATTTGTGTTCTTGAGCTCTTTAGTGCTCGGCGGGTGCAATCGTTTAAGTCGATCAGAGAAGAAGAGGTCGCTCTACTTTTAAAGTCAATCTCTCAATCTTCATCTCTTGAAATTCCCGTTGATTTGAGTGAGGAATCATATACTTTCACTGCAAATATAACAACACGGATAGCTTTTGGGAAGAGCTTTAGAGGGAGTGGACTAGATAATGGAAATTTTCACCAAGTTATCCGTAGAGCAATCGCAGCATTGGGAAGCTTGTCAATGACTGACTTCTTTCCTAATGTGGGTTGGGTCATTGATCGACTCAGTGGGGTTAGTGGGAGGCTGGAGAAGAGCTTTGCTGAGTTGGATGCTTTTCTCCAACAAGTAGTTGACGACCACATCAACTTCAAAGCAACTTCTCAGAATGAAGAAAATATTGTTGATGTTTTGTTGGAAATGGAGAGAGATTGTTCTAAACCTAATGCCCTACAACTCACTAGAGATTGCATCAAGGCACTTATCATGGTAAGCTCTAACCATTTTTCTTTTACCTTTTTTAAGTTCAAGTAAGTTCACCACCTCTTGTTTCAATTTTCCAACTTATTTGTGAGATCTCACGTCGATCGGAGAGGAGAGCGAAACACCCTTTATAAGGGTGTGGAAACCTCTTTCTAGCAGACGCGTTTTTAAAACCTTGAGGGGAATCCCGAAAGGGAAAGCCCGAAGAGGACAATATCTGCTAGCGGTAGGTTTGAGCCATTACAAATGGTATCAAAGCCAGACACCGGGCGATGTGCCAGCGAGGAGGCTGCTCCTCGAAGGATGTAAACATGAGGCGGTGTGCCAGTAAGAACGCTGGCCCCAAAAGGGGTGGATTTGGTGGGGGTCCCACATCGATTGGAGAAAGGAACGAGTGTCAGTGAAGACTTTGGACCTTGAAGGAGAGTCGATTGTGAGATCCCACATCAGTTGGGGAGGAAAACGAAACACCCTGTATAAGGGTGTAGAAACTTCACCCTAGCAAACGCATTTTAAAAATCTTGAGGGAAAGCCCGAAAAGAAAAGCCCAAAGAAGAGAATATATGTTAGATGTGGATTTGTGCGATTATTAAACCAAGCTCTTCTTTGTTTCTTTGGTGTACTGCTTTAATTAGGATATATTTATAGCCGGAGTAAACCCAGGGGCAGGCACCATTATTTGGGCAATGACAGAGCTAGTTAGGAATCCACGGGTAATGAAGAAGCTACAAGATGAGATCAGAACCAGCGTAAAAGAAAATCAAGTGAAGGAGAACGACCTCGAAAAACTTCAATATCTAAAAATGGTAATGAAAGAGGTTCTGAGGTTGCATGCACCCGCTCCACTTCTCCTTCCAAGAGAAACCTTGTCCCATTTCAAGCTCAATGGTTACGACATCGATCTCAAGGCTCATCTTTATGTCAATGTATGGGCTATCGGACGAGACCTGGATTACTGGACAAACCCAGAAGAATTCTTGCCTGAGAGATTTATAGGAAGCACTATTGACTACAAAGGGCAAAATTTTGAGTATTTACCATTTGGAGCGGGTAGGAGAATCTGTCCTGGGATGAACATGGGAATTGTTACAATGGAACTGGCATTGGCTAACCTATTGCTACTTTTTGATTGGAAATTGCCAAATGGGATGAAGGATGTAGACATGGAAGAGGATGCTGGTCTAACAGTTTCAAAGAAATTGCCTCTTAAACTAATACCAGTTGGCTACTAAGTTTAGCTCGACTTGTGAATAAATTTTGCTGCCAAATAGCCTGTAATTATTCTACAGAACTTGAGTCTGATGAACTACAACTTGGTAGAATTTTGATAGTTGTATTTGTTTAGTTTTTATGATTACGTTACATGTTAATTGAAATAACATGTGATCTTTGGCATTCCATATTCATGACATCTTGTGATAGGTTAGAATATAGTTCAAGTGTAACAGCTCAAGTCTGCTGCTAATATATATTGTCCGTTTTAACTCGTTACGTGTCGCCGTCAGCTTCACAGTTTTAAAACGCGTCTACCAAATACGAGATCTCACAATCCACTCCCTTGAGAGCCCAGTGTCCTGGCTGGCACACTGCTCAAGTCTACCTAGCAAATATTGTCCACTTTGGTCAGCTATGTATCGTCTCAGTTTCAATATTTTAAAATGTGTCTACTGATGTGGGATCTCAGAATTCACCCCCTTGAGGGTCCAATGTCCTCGTTGGCATAACGCTCAGTGTCTGGCTCTGATACCATTTGTAGCAGTCCAAGCCCACCGTTAGCAGATATTGTCCGCTTTGGCCCGTTACGCATCGCTGTTAGCTTCACGGTTTTAAAATGTGTCTATCGATCTAGGATCTCACAATTCACTCCCTTAAGGGTCCAGCGTCCTCGCTGGCATACCACTCGGTGTTTGACTCTGATATCATTTGTAATAGCTCAAGTCCACCATTAGTAGATATTGTCTCTTTTGACCTCTTACATATCGTCATGAGCTTCACAATTTTTAAAATGCACCTACCGATGTGGAATCTCATGTCAAGTTACGGATTTTGTTGAATAATTGGCACAAAACAAATACTTGGAAGAAAGAAACTTTCGTTAAGAAAATACTTTATAAGACTCTTTTCACTCTCTCAATACTAACTTTTTAAAACATTTTTCTAATTTTACTTATTATTTAGAGGCATACGATCCTTAGAGCCTTGACCAAAACACTATTCCCAGCTCTTATTAGAGCTAAAATGTTTAGATATTTCTAGATCTTTCTTTTGAGATATTTATTTGTATCGATGTTCTTGGTGTTCCTTCTTTTCATGAAAGGAATTGTCAAAAAATCTCAGAATGCTAAGTCTTTGTTACATTTCATCCCCAGGAAACCAAATACAAACAGAATTTAGCCAGAATTCAGCTATGTTAATGCCATTTGTTCCCCCAAGAAGCCAGAAAACTTATGCAAATCCTTCATATCCAGATGATTCAAGAAGAAAAAAAGAACAAAAAACCAAAAAAACAAACTCCATGAGACAATCAGACCCAAATCATAACACTTCTTTAGATGAATTCTCAATGTTTTGTCTTACATTTAATTCTGAGAAGAACCCCACCAGGAGGGCCACCAATAATCAAAGTGCAATAACTGTGTAGCCAATAAGAGTATCTCAGCAGAGAACCAAAGTTGGACCTTGCCCTGAAAATCCCTCTTAATTCAAGCTTTATCCCATTATTTTCAATTTGCTTCTGCAGCCTTAAACTCTCTAAAATGGGTAGCCTTACCTGACTGGACGTCATATGAACATTCACCAAATGGGATCCTTGTTTGGATGCTGAGAAAGGAGCTATGAATCTGGTAGCAATCAGTGTGTTCCCATAGTAAAGATCCAAGATCATTGAACTGAAATCCACACTAACTTTCTTGTTTGGATTTGTGAAGTTTGCTAGTAGATTCATATCAGCGTTTAGCAGGTACCCCATGTCGAGATATGCTGCGTTTAGATTGGCAGCGGCTACATCAAACCGTGGGCTTTTGGGACGAAAAATGAGGTAAACAATGAGGATTACTAAGCCTCCAACAATTACAAGCACCCAAAAGATTGCACAAAAGACTGCACCAAACCACATTAGTGGATTGGTTTGGCGGGGCAATGGCATAAGAAGAATGTTCTGCTGATTTCGTCTGTTGTGATCATCTCCATCATCTCTTCGACGGTGATGGGGATGGGGCTCCTGTGAATCAGATGGGTCTTGAATTTGCACTCTAGGACGTGATTGATGCACATTTTGCTCCGGTAACTTCGTGGCCGCCTCTGGATATGGAATTTGATGGTGCCGTTTCAATCGTGGCGCTTTCTCAGGTGGGTCAAGTGTTTGAGATTGTGATCCTTGGCCGGATTGTGGCGGCGGTGGATATATGTTTTGACGATTTTTCTTTGAACGTGGTGTCTTGCCACTAGTAGGTTGGGCAGAGGACGCTGAGGACGGCGGCGGAAATGGAGTGGTTGGGTCGGAATATGGGTCGGGATGGGGCTGTGGTGGAAGAGAAGGGTCTTGAAGCGGTGGCTGAGGACGGCGGTCAGGCTGCAATGGGCGGTGGAAATGAGGGTTGGTTTCAGGGTGGTGCATGATGGGAAGAAGAGGAGGAGGAGGAGGAGGGGAAGAGGAGGGGATGGAGATGATGAGTGAGGGAATGATGTTAAGCCCATAAGAAGCTTTGATTTTGGTTGGAGAATGACTTGAATTCAACTTCAAGAATGATTTGTGGAAAGGGAAAGTATCAAACACAAGCAGAGAATCTGAGGCAAAGTTGTGATTTTTAGGGGCATATGTCTTTACGCTTACTGGGTTTAGTTGCACTCCGAAGTACAGAACATTGTCATGGGTTTTATAATCATTGGTTCCAGGATTATATACTTTTTCTATCTTGCATGTTTTACAAAGAAGATGAGGATAATTTAACGATTTTTATTATGTGTACGTTGAGTTGTGTTAGATTTAACAAGGGTGTTTGTCGGTTGAGTTCGATAGATAATGACCTTTAAATTCAATCTAATTGCTCTAGTTATAAATTTTTCAATCCAAACAACTCGTCGAGAGATCTCATGTTGGTTGGAGAGGGGTACGAAGTATTCTTATAAAGGTGTGGAAACCTCTCCTAATAGACACATTTTAAAACTGTGAGGTTCGGTGATACGTAATGGGTCAAAGCGGACAATATTTGATAGTAGTAGCTTTAGACGGTTAGCGGACAATATTTGATAGTAGTAGCTTTAGACGGTTACCGGACAATATTTGATAGTAGTAGCTTTAGACGGTTACAAATGATATCAAAGTCAGACACCAAAGGGTGTGCCAGCAAAGACTCGAGCTCCCAAGGGGTGGATTATGAGATCCCTCGGGTTGAAAAGGAAAACAAAATATTGGGGTGGATTATGAGATCCCTCGGGTTGAAAAGGAAAACAAAATATTCCTTACAATGTGCTTCAACCATACAAAATATTCCTTACAACGTGCCTTAAATTAAAATGCTCAATTTAAACAAATATTTTAATAATATATCTTTCAAATAATTAAAATTCATTTATAAGAATTATTAGAGAATAAATAATAAAAATAAAATAAATATGTATAAATAATTGTATACTAACCAAAAACATATTTATTTAAATTAACAATAAATTTGAATTAGTTTAATTCACAAATCTTTTCGAACTTCCTAAAACATATATTTTCGGTCAATTAAATAAAGAGAGAAAAGAAAAAAATATTAGACATATTACAAAAAAAAAAAAAAAAAAAAAAAAAAAAAAAAAAAAAAAAAAAAAAAAAAAAAAAAA